GTGGTTATCATCCATACCTCTCACGCCAAAGTCACGAGTTCAAATCTCACCCCCGGACAAGTCACGAATGAACCAAGAGCGTTAAAGTGACTATGATCAAAAAAAAAACTAGAATGGATCCAACAGCAAACCGAAAATCAACCGAAATTATTCAATGGAATTGTAATGGCGTCAGAAAACAAGACGCAGAATTACGGGTCTAAATGTAATATTTAGCGACTCAAAAAGCGTACTGGAAGCTGTCACTAACAACAACTGTAATCACCCATGGATTTTGAAAATCAAATCGATCCTACAAGAAACTCACAGAAACGTTGAACTTTGTTGGGTCTCAGCTCACGTCAACATCACGGGCAACGAGAAAGCAGACGACCTGGCAAAACATGGGGCTATGTTCAAATCCCCAATCGACATTTACACACCATTCGCAGATTTCAAACGAATGGTTGACGAACATATAAACCAAGCTTGGCAAAACAAATGGTTCATGAACAACAGCAAGCTCAGGTAAATCAAGAACACCATTTCGGAATGGAGCACCTTATACAATAAAGATCGATATGCAAGCCGAATCATAACAAGGCTAAGAATTGGACATACCAAATTAACTCATGGCCACCTTGCAAGAAACGAAGACCCGGAAATATGTCTATGTCTATCTACCTACCAATTACCGTTCAGCATATATTAATCGACGCACCTGGGTTCCTCTTTACATGAAATACTAGGAGACGATGCAAATTCCATAGAAAAAAAAATAAAGTTCTTGAAGCATAGTAAAATCCATACGCTAATATAAACAACCACAATCAACATCGAACCTATGCTGATTCAACACAAAAAGAACGCAACAAAATTCACCACCAAAGAGACCTGTCAGCAAAATGCAATACTTATAAAGCCGGCAAATGGCAATCAAGCAACAGTCATATTCAAATCATCCACGGTTCAACTATAGCACAACCATACATCCAGCACTCATACAATGGGAAACGCAGACAGCAAAGATACCACCCAAAACGGTGATCAGGACGTAACCATAATCGAGAATCAAGAAGTCCACACGGGATACCTAGAAGACCACAACTGGAAGCTCTCACTTATCCTCGTCATAGTGTCAATCCAGCTAATCATCGGTATCATCAACATACTAAGGAAACAATGGAAGAAAGCAGCACTCAAAGCTGCCAAATCTGTAGCAGTCCTCAACGTTCAATTAAGGAAGACCCGACCATGACCAGATCCAAAAAGGCAACCGGAAATAGGTTAAGAAGTGATAAATTCAAATACTAATTTTTAAGCTTTAAACTGTAATTTATCAAAAACAACCCGAATGACCAAATGGTTAAACAGTCGCTAATAAAGAACAACAACCAGCAAGAACTTAGTTCCAGCCAGCTTTCAGCAGTTGTTCTTCCTCCTCAGCAGCCAGCCCCAGTGGTCACTTCAAAAGGATCATCGCTGATCAAACAAGCTCTCCAAACAGCTATTCTTCTAAACATCTGGAATTTCACCTATGATGCAACGATCCCATCAGCATCGATTGATCCAGTAGTCGTAACAGTAGTCCCATTGAAAATGGTAATAGTTAACTCCGATCCCCTTCTCGTTAGCACCATGCAAGTTAGCTACAGCGTGAAGATTCGATCACAGCTCGTCAAACATAGCATGTTAAGCAATATTCCAACCGTGGCCCCTCCAATAAAATCCGCCACTACAGTTTCCGATTTAGAAAACATCTCTCCGGTGGGGCAACAACCGATTAACACCCAATTCTAGCTCCGACGGCAACGCTACCAACCATTACCCCCGTGGAATGTTCAGCCAGAGTAGCCGTCGCCCTTTCCGAAGCCGAAGAGGAGGAGTACGTTGAAGTAGCCGCTACCAATGTTTCCGGTGAGTGCGATCCTCGTCCGGACTTCAAACCCATCAACGATCAACCGGACGAAATCGAAGTGAAAACCGGTCAGGAAGACGGAGAACAAATCAAGCTGACAGATCCTCTTCGTTGACTTTCTCTTTGCATTCCCACGGTCATGTTAAGACCAAGTACAGGATCGTCATGAGGCGTGATCAAGATCACAAGATCGCTACCAATCACTCGATATCGTCCGCGCTGTTCATAAAACAGATGGAGACGAACAACAAATTCTATGGACTTAGCCAACGAGAAACCGAAGAACACACGTATGTAGTGGTGTTCTACTGTAAAGGAGACTGTCGTCGACGGCCGCAGCAAAATCACGGTGGTGTATCGCAGAAACGGGATCGTATCACGATCACCCGGAAGGCACAGCAGAAGCACCAAAAGAGGAAGGATGGATGTCCACCGTCAGTAGAACGGCACAGTGGTAATTCAGAGCTCGGTTCGCAGTTTCATCCAGCGGCAGTTTGCCAAGCCATGGGAACGGGATTGCTTCGACGAGTATTGTAGTACGTGCGGGGTACGTAATTTGCCGGATTTTGAGTATTTGGTCAGGCAGATCGAGTTTTTCCACCATATCAAGCCGGACAAGCATTCGCCCTTGGTGTAAGGCAGCTAGGCAGCAATAGGTTCCGTTCACGTTCACAGTTGGTAAGAATTGAACGAAGGTTATTAAGCTGAGATGGTGCAGGATAATCAAATCAATTAATTTAAGTGTCTCCGAGTTTTGCTGAACTATTGAGTTCTGTAAACATTTTTTTTTATTATTGTTTTGATTGACAACAGCTTTTCGGCTTTGAAAGAAGGTGCAGTTTCATATGTTGCTGTGATGCGAAAAGTGAGAAAGCAAATGACAGTGATCTTTCTCACTGAGCAATGTGAGTTACTCGAGGTGTATCAAAAGCAGCTCAGAAATTGCTCTTGATTAGGAGCTGTCTTACCCCTATACGTAGTCTACGTCTTACGGGAAGGTACAGGGGGTAAATCGAAAATTTAAAATTGCTACCGTCACGAAAAGGTGTTAGGTTTTGAACGCTTATAACTTTGCCATTTATATTATCTATTAACCCTCGGTTAGAGTTAATTCATTCAGAGTCAAATGAGCAGTAAGTACTAATTGTTATATTATAAATCTTGAACACATTTTTAAAACAAAGCCAAATTAGATTTCATTAAATGAGCGTTAATGTTGGAACATCATACAAAACCGAAGTTTTTCTTATTGCAATCATTAATCTTCATATGGAAAATATCCCAACGTTTCTATATATATATATATATATATGTCCTTAATATTGGGCTCATACATACATTGAGAAGGAAAGCATTGTTTGACAATGTTTCGCTAGCAATACAAAATATTGATTTGTATTGTCCAGATAACGCATTGTTCTCCAAATTGAAGAACAGGAGATTTGTATCGACTAGCCCAATCAGTTTTGGTGATGTTTAACCTCGGTTTTTATATATTTGATCATAATGTATCTAATGGAAAAGAGCTGAAACAACGGTTGCATAAAAAACCAACCATCACACCGGTCCAGAAGCCGCTAACAAAGAGTTCTAGCAAAGAGTCAAGAATGAGCTCCGAAAACAAACTCCCCCACTGAACCCCCGACGTTGTTTGGTTTGCGACGACGTCACGGAGAACCGACCCACAAGTGCTGATCCTGGAGACACCTTTAATCACAGATACAGACAGGAAATCCTCCCTGATGAAATGGAATCACCATGGATCAAGATGTATTCAAGGAGAGGCAACATGTTAATTAAGTTGAAAAGTATCATCAGTACGAGGTGGAGGAAGCGGTCAAGGACTTGGATATCATCCTGATTCAAGCAGGAAAGGTGAACCAGCAGCACCATGCAATTTCATCCGGTTGACATTGCTCATGGATTCATTTGGTGAGTTCGTTCCTATTTATTAATTCACTTGTGATGATGATCGTCAACAGCGTTGAACAGCCAAAAACAGCCAAGCAAAATTGAAATTACTGTAAATCATATATTTTAAAACATTATATTATGTATTAGGTTGGGGAGGGGCAACCTAAGGGAATCAAAGGATTTGTTGACTGGACGAGGGTTCGTGGATTTGCCAGTCTCTTGTCACGTGATTACAGATGGTTATCTGGTCGTTTTGTCTTCCAAAGGTCTTCAATGAAGCTGATTAACCCTGCTGTAACAAACCATCAGACAGAACTTTACAACCGGTATAGTATCTGCAGACATTGGTAATCCTTGCACAATCCTTGATCACATTTGATCATAATGTATCTGATTTTAGCACAGCATCAAGTTTCAGAAAAATTTTAATTAATAAATCTTTGCTCAGTCGAATGAATTTTAGGTTAATTTTTGTACTATTGGAATTAACTAATTTTAAGAAACTGTGATGATTATGTCTCGTTATAAGTCCCTGAAATGTGCACACTTACAATTCTCAATTTTAAAATAAAAAAATCTCCGAAAATCCATTTGCATTAGGAAAAATATAAACAGTGTTCCCAGGCCAAAAATGCACTAGGAAGGTTAAATCGATATGATCGAAAGATTCCCCTAATGGATAAAAATCATACAGAATGCGCCCACCAACTGCGCCAATAAAATCCACTCGCAATCGACACTTCCGGGATGTTCGGTAGCTTTCAGAGGGTTCACCGCTTTCATTTCACCGATCCTCATCTATTACCGGATTAGCATTTGTCCTCGTTCCTTTTTATTTTTATTTTCCCCACCATCCCAGGAGGGCTTCCACTCGTCATCGCGAGGACAAACAACAATCATAACTAAATTTTATTTTATCTTCCTCCACTGGAAGGAAGTAATAAAAAAGAAATGACGACCCATTTGATTCCGGTCCGGCACCCAATAGGGAAACTGTGTCGCGCGCGTTCAAGTCACTACAATGCCTTATTTCCCTCACTCCCGGAGAGTACCGGCCGCCGTCGTTTTAATCCAGTTATTTATGGTCTTTTGATCAACGACCGGTGCGGATCGAAAGGTGATCAGATTTTTCCGCAGTCCAATAGATTGTAATTATGATTAATTGTGGCCAAGCCGGAAGCTCACTTACCCGGGAAGCGATCGCAGGGCGGCTGGATAAAGTGCCGGAAGCAGCGCCGGATTCCAGGCCGAGGGAAACAGTATCGGTGCCCAGTTCAGGACGCCCGGAGGCGTGTTGGCCGTAGGGACAGCCGTCGGAGTCATAATATCTCCGAGACCACCACCGTTAGTAACGGGAGTCCTCGTCGTCCGAGGTGGAGGCGTGGGCGAGCAACGCCGGGCTGGTGGCGCTGGCGACGATACTGAAGTCCGCCGCGTATTAGACGGCGGAGTTTTCTGTGGGCTGCTGGCACGAGGACCACCAGCTTCCTTCTTTTCCGCGGCCACTTTGAACCGATTTTTCCGGGACGGGTAACACAGGAAAATATTCTTCAGGTTGACGGCGGAATTCACCTTCGGTCACTTCACACAATCACTTGTTTATTTTGCGGTAAATTTTTGAATCTCGTCGAACTTGCACGTTTCCGGTTGTTGCCTGACACAAACACCACACTCACTGATCACTTTCCGATACGGGAAGATATGGTCTTCCGCCTGCAATCGCCCTAATCAAACAATAATGTTATTATTATCCAAGTGCTAAGCGCGCATATTCACACTCTTCAGCCGTTGATAGCTAGTTCTTGACTGTAACTAAATTATGTTTTCACTTGAAGGTAAGTGGGCACTCCACGCCGGGCCTTGCGAGCCACTCGACTCTCGACGAGACGAGAGCTGAGTTCTTGTGTTTGTATCCTTTTTCGGGGTGCTGCCAGTCAAGCTTCCCCTCGCTGCATCTCGCTCTATCGCACGCGAAGCAAATCGCATCCGTCCGTCCCTTTCCATGCCACATTATTATGCGCACTCTTGTCAAGTCAAGCAACCACTACCCGTCCTCCACCTCCTGACTTCCGCTCAGCATAACCGACGAAACCTATTTATGAGAATGTATGACGAGTGAAGAGCACTCTCGACGAGACAATTTACAACGACGACAGCGCGCACGACGAAGTGCCAGACAAAAAGGAAAACACGAAAGGATCTCCTCAAGCGAAGAGCATATTCAGCCCATCAGCCAGCTGCTTGAAGTGGGCCAATCGGAAGCGCCTCATCGACAAGCGAACACCAGCAGTAGCAGCAGCAGCAGCAGCAGTAGGCGTGGCTTCGCAACTCTCATCCATTTTCTTTCTCACACTACCGTCGTAACCATGGTGGCACGACCGCACCACCGACACCATCGCCGTCCGTGAGTGCCGTTCGTCGTGCGGGACAGACGGAAAGTGTGCGCACCTTTTCGAGTGCCATCCGAAGAGGCAAAAGCCGGTGTCGGGCTGGGAGTGAGGGAGACTACGGACGTCGACAGGAGCCACTTTGCTATAGTCGCCGCATAGCTGATGATGTTTATGCTCGCGCTTATGTGTGCACGCACTCAAACTCGATGAGGATGGGCCCACTTCTCGGGTGGCACAGTGAGATCGGTGTGGGCTGTTTTGCTGTACGTACATATAGGATTTAGGCATACAGGTATCCTCCGGTTTTCTTCCGCATTATCGGTTGTTTTCAGCTGATTTTCTGTAGGTGACAAGTTTATGGTCTAATCACTAATCACATACAAACAATCAGCCCAGGTTCCCGATGGACAGCCTCCTTCACGGTGCACAGCTCAAGAAACTTTGCGTCTCTGCTGATTGTGCCTTCCGCCCTTCTTCATACCCAACAAATACCAGCATTTCGGCCTTCATGATAAGCTTACGCCGCTTTTCCTTCGGAACATGGACATACGCTTCTGAACCAAAAATCCTGAGATGCGCAACCGATGGTTTCTTCCCGCACCACAATTCATATGGGGTTCGATCGATCGAAGACGACGGTAAACGATTCTGCAAATAATTTTCTGTGCAAATAGCTTCACCCCAGAAGTGCTTATAAAGTTCCGCTTCCGATAGCATACATCGCATCATCTTTACAAGGTATCTGTTCTTGTGCTCTACCACAGCGTTATGTTGTGGCGAATACGGTGGGCCCATGCATTAATTATGTCACGCTAAATCGAGCAAAAAATTACCCCCTCCCCCCTATACCTAATGCATTGATTGTCACAAAATCTTAGACCCCCCCCCCTCCCTTCTTAGAGCGTGACATAATATATGCATCAACCCTAAAGCGCAATACTCACAGATTTTCTCATCAGCTTCGGACTTCCTCTGGAGCGGGTATACGACGGAGTAACGGCTGCAGTCTGTAACCCTCGTCAAGGGTGACAATTATTTACCACCCTTTTAACGTGTTTGGCATAAGCGTGTGTCTTGTCTGTCATGATTTGTTTTTTGAAAATCCGCCGATATAAGTTACGGGCAAATCACCCACGGCGCAGCTATTTATTGTTCAACTTACCCGTGCAGCAGCTGAATCCAAAAATGACCTTTCACCAACTGACAGGAAATGTGTAAGAAATGTCATGACCTACCTATTTATTATCCATCTCATATCTTCCCTCTCCTTTGGTATAAAAGTTATAAAAAGTATTTTTAAACAATAATTAATGATAATGCATTACTGAATCTTGATCCATCGCTTCCTGTTACCTCAATCCCAGGTCCCGCAGCATAGCCTTCACCCGGTGCTTGATGATCGGTATGCCATCCGCCGAGTGCAACTCGCGTCCTGTAATGATGAACAGTTCTTTGAACTGCTGCGTCCGGTGGGTCAGCTTTCTGGTGTGCTCTGTTAGGAAAATCTCTAAACACTGCAGCGCTTCCTCCGAGTGTAGATAGTGCAAATCCAACGCGTCCACATTGTTCAGCGTCAGCTTTTGCACCTCCATGATGGCATTCGAGGCCTTACTGCTGTACATAACGATTTTGGTTCGATGAAGCCAGGCAACCTGGACATAGTACTCGGCCACCCCGGCCATGCCTCGCTGAATGGCATTCCGTGCCTTCTCGTGGCATTCGTTTTTCAGTTCCTGGTGGTCCTGGGACATATTGCGGTATTCTTCGGCCGTTTTCAGGTGATGTCGTCTTCGCTGGATGACGGTACCTGCTCGACCGTTGGAGGCGGCGATGTTGAGGACGAAGGAAGTGGTTTCTATTTTTCGGCTTCTGCTCGCTTCATAAGGGCTTCCCGTTCGCGGGCGATTTGGTTTCTCAGCTCTTCCGGAATGGACTTGTTTAGGACGGTTATAGCAACAATCAATACGAAACTAACGATTTTAAATTGGCTCACTTCTTGACTAGCCTATTGGTCCCAAGCAAACGATTAACGTACCCCATTCTAGTTGAAATTCTAGTACTACGCAATGTTTGTTTTGATTCGCTATGAAAGTTTGACAGATAAAATGAGGGGTTATTGTTTTTTTTCTATGTTTCGAGGGGTGAATCGATAGCTTGGGACCGAACAGAGTACCAGAGCTGAGCCAAAAAGTTGAGCACGTTATTTCGGGACCTTCTAGTCTTAGAGTTACCTCTATGGTTATAGTGTCGCTGAATTTGTGGGCATGTCGGATTTCTACCAGAACTTTCTCGTCAATGATAGGATACATTTCGGCTAGCTTTTGACGAGTCATATGCGAGGACAGATCTTGCGGAGCTTGCTTAGCCCAGCCGTTGATTTCGCTTCGGTACGCCGGTAGGGCGTACTCCATTTCCATAATGTCGTTCAGGTTGGGGGAATCCTCGATGGTTTTTCTGAACAAAACGGGATACTTTTCCTTCGCTTCCATTTGCTGTGCCAATCGAGCATCTTTTTTCATAAAATCTTGTTTTCCCCCTGAAGCTATACATGGAATCCAAGAACGGAAAATACAACTGTTCTGCCATTTCGGTAGCCATGAAAACCTTTGTTCATTCATTGGTTAGTTCGTCTAAGGAGAATCCTTGAAAGTGGCGTGTAGCTGGCGTATGAGATTAATTCCTAACGTCACTTCCAGCACTTCGGGATCGTTTTGCAAATCTTCCGCTTTGTCTTTTCTTTTCGTTGTGTTCTGGGGTGATTTCGAGCTGACGGTAGACCGATCGATTTCGTAACCCCCTCCACCACCACCACTACCGGAGGGATCACCAAAAGGCACTTGCGATACCATTGTTTCATTGCAATCACATTCAAACCCGAGTAGGCCGCCAAGCGCACTGGCTTCCAAATTATCCGCTGTCTCGAATTCGTATGTATTTTGCTCTTCTAGCAAAAGATTTGCTGTCCAATCACCGTGCCCGTTGTAGTTCTCGAACAAATCCCACAGATACTGGACCGGAATCTGGGGATAGAGGATGCAAATTTCCGAGAATCTAGTGTTTTCATTTTTGCATCCTCGTCTGTGCCTGACCAGAGCAATCCGTTTCTTTTCCGATTTCTTCTTTTTGCTGGGCTTGACCGGCGTCACACCTGTGAAAATTCGTCCTCACTCGTTTTCTCAGAACGGCCGTCCCGGTCGCGTTATTATCTTGTGGTTTTGCCACGGCGAGGAGACGATTTTTGCAAATCCGTGCTCACTCGCATTCAGAACGGCCGTCCCGGTCGCGTTCTTATCCTGTTGCCTGTTTTTGCAAATCCGTCCTCACTCGTTTTCTCAGAACGGCCGTCCCGGTCGCGTTCCGATTTCCAATTTCCCTTGCAAGTGGGTGATTTGCCCTTTATTACCTATGGTCTCCAAGATTCCAGGTTCGTCTCCTGGCAGGATCGCCATAAATGTGAAAATCCGCCGATATTAGTTCACGGGCAAATCACCCACGCCGCAGCTAATCATTGTTCAACTAACCCGTGCAGCAGCTGAATCCAAAAATGACCTTTCACCAACTGACAGGAAATGTGTAAGAAAAGTCACCTACCTAGTTATTCCATCTCATATGTTTTTATTTTGGTCGCACGCTCATCACCAGTGTTGTTTTAACAAGTGTTTTAATGTATATTTTTAATCGTAGTTTTTGTCTTTAATTTTATTCAAATAATTATCTTAGGTGTTCTGGAATGTAGGGAAAAAATTATCGTTTAAATTGTTTCGCGTTTGTAATGAAGTTAGGTCCCGTTTCTCCTCCCGCTGCAAAATAAGGTGAAAGCATAAATTAGCATAACAGTCGAGCGCGGTTGCAGGAGAACGATGGTGATTTTGTTATTGTCGGTGATTGCGGTTTTCGTGGCGTGCGTCAGCTGGACGTATCATCCCCAGCATCGTTGGCTGTGTGATAGTGAAGTTCCCCCGAAAAGTGCCGACCCGTGGATTGTGAACTGGGCATAGTTAAGGGTGTTGGATTGCCGCCATTGGGAAGCTAAGGGTGAAGGAGTCTTTCGCTTTCCCGGCTAACCATAAGGGTTCGGTAAACACCCGCCGTCCTGAGTGCCAATACAGCCAGTCTCGCCATCGCAGGTAATCGTCAAGCAGGACGAAGGAAGCAGGCATTCCCAGAGGTGAGTCCGCCTGGGCAGAAACACTGCGGTGTCTGAAGGGATTGCCTACGGCGAGTAGGTAAT